CCTGGGATAAATCCCACTTGATCATGGTGTATGATTCTTTTAATGTGTTCTTGGATTCTGTTTGCTAGTATTTTGCTGCGGATTTTTGAATCTATATTCATGAGTGATATAGGTCTGTAATTGTCTTTTTTTGTAGTATCTTTGTCTTGTTTTGGTATCAGTGTGATGGTGGCCTCATAGAACGAGCTTGGGAGTGTTCCTTCCTGTGCAATTTTTTGGAAGGGTGTGAGAAGGATCGGTGTTAGTTATGCTCTAAATGTTTGATAGAATTCACCTGTGAAGCCATCTGGTCCTGGACTTTTCTTTGTTGGAAGAGTTTTAATTACAGTTTCAATTTCATTACTTGTGATTGGTCTGTTTATATTTTCTATTTCTTCCTGGTTCAGTCTTGGAAGGTTATACCTTTCTAAGAATTTGTCCATTTCTTGCAGATTGTCCATTTTATTAGCATAGAGTTGCTTGTAGTAGTCTCTTAGGATGCTTTGTATTTCTGTGCTGTCTGTTGTAACATCTCCTTTTTCATTTCTAATTTTATTGACTTGAGTCCTCTCCCTCTTTTTCTTGATGAGTCTCGCTAGTGGTTTATCAATTTTGTTTATCTTCTCAAAGAACCAGCTTTTAGTTTTATCGATCTTTGTTATTGTTTTCTTTGTTTCTATTTCATTTATTTCTGCTCTGTTCTTTATGATTTTTCTCCTACTAACTTTGGGTTTTGTTTGTTCTTCTTTCTCTAGTTCCTTTAGGTGTAAAGTCAGATTGTTTATTTGAGATTTTTCTTGCTTCTTGAGGTAGGGTTGTACTGCTAAAAACTTCCCTCTTAGAACTGCTTTTGCTGCATCCCACAGGTTTTGGATCATTGTGTTTTCATTGTCATTTGTCTCTAGGTATTTTTTGATTTCCTCTTTGATTTCTTCAGTGATCTCATTTTTTTTTTTTTTTTGCGGTACACAGCCCTCTCACTGTTGTGGCCTCTCCCGTTGTGGAACACAGGCTCCCGACGCACAGGCTCAGCAGCCATGGTCATATGCATGCTCCGCTGCATATGGGTCTTCCCGGACCAGGGCACGAACCCGTGTCCCCAGCATCGGCAGGTGGACTCTCAACCACTGCGCCACCAGGGAAGCCCTTCAGTGATCTCTTATTTAGTAACGTGTTGTTCAGCCTCCATGTGTTTGTGTTTTTTACGTATTTTTCCCTGTAATTGATTTTTAATCTCATAGTATTGTGGTCAGAAAAGATGCTTGATATGATTTCAATTTTCTTAAATTTACTGAGGCTTGATTTCTGATCCAAAATGTGATCTACCCTGGAGAATGTTCCGTGCACACTTGAGAAGAAAGTGTAATCTGCTGCTTTTGGATGGAATGTCCTATAAATATAAATTAAATCTATCTGGTCTATTGTGTCATTTAAAGCTTGTGTTTCCTTATTAATTTACTGTTTGGATGATCTGTCCATTGGTGTAAGTGAGGTGTTAAATTCCCCACTATTACTGTGTTATTGTCGATTTCCTCTTTTAGAGCTGTTAGCAGTTGCCTTATGTATTGGGGTGCTCCTATGTTGGGTGCCTATATATTTATAATTGTTATATCTTCTTCTTGGATTGATCCCTTGATCATTATGTAGTGTCCTTCCTTGTCTCTTGTATCATTATTTTAAAGTCTATTTTATCTGATATGAGTATTGCTACTGCAGCTTTCTTTTGATTTCCATTTGCATGGAATATCTTTCTCCATCCCCTCACTTTCAGTCTGTATGTGGCCCTAGGTCTGAAGTTGGTCTCTTGTAGACAGCATATGTATGGGTCTTGTTTTGGTATCTATTCAGCAAGCCTGTGTCTTTTGGTTGGAGCATTTGATCCATTCACGTTTAAGGTAATTATCGATATGTATGCTCCTATTACCATTTTTTTAAATTGTTTTGGGTTTGTTTTTGTAGGTCCTTTTCTTCTCTTGTGTTTCCCACTTAGAGAAGTTCCTGTAGCATTTGTTGTAGAGCTGGTTTGGTGGTGCTGAATTCTCTTAGTTTTTCCTTGTCTGTAAAGCTTTAGATTTCTCCATCGAATCTGAATGAGATCCTTGCCCGGTAGAGTAATCTTGGTTGTAGGTTTTTCTCTTTCATCACTTTAAAAATGTCATGCCACTCCCTTCTGGCTTGTAGAGTTTCTGCTGAGAAATCAGCTGTTAACCTTATGGGAGTTCCCTTACGTTATTTGTCATTTTTCCCTTGCTGCTTTCAATACTTTTTCTTTGCCTTTAATTTTTGCCAGTTTGATTGCTGTGTGTCTAAGCGTGTTTCTCCTTGGGTTTATCCTGTATGGGACTCTCTGCGCTTCCTGGACTTGGTTGGCTATTTCCTTTCCCATGTTACTGAAGTTTTCAACTCTAATCTCTTTAAATATTTTCTCGGGTCCTTTCTCTTTCTCTTCTCCTTCTGGGACCCCTATAATGCAAATGTTGTTGCGTTTAATGTTGTCCCAGAGGTCTCTCAGACTGTCTTCATTTCTTTTCATTCTTTATTCTGTTCCGTGGCAGTGTATTCCACCATTCTGTCTTCCAAGTCACTTATCCGTTCTTCTGCCTCAGTTATTCTGCTACTGATTCCTTCTAGTGTATTTTTCATTTCAGTTAATCTTTGTTCATCTCTGTTTGTTTGTTCTTTAATTCTTCTAGGTCTTTGCTAAACATTTATTGCATCTTCTCGATGTTTGCCTCCATTCATTTTCTGAGGTCCTGGATCATCTTCACTGTCATTATTCTGAATTCTTTTTCTGGAATGTTGTCTATCTCCACTTCATTTAGTTGTTTTTCTGGGTTTTTGTCATGTTCCTTCATGTGGGACATAGCCCTCTGCCTTTTCATCTCATCTATCTTTCTGTGAATGTGGTTTTTGGTCCACAGGCTGCAGGACTGTAGTTCTTCTTGCTTCTGCTGTCTGCCCTCTGGTGGATGAGGCTATGTAAGAGGCTTGTGCCAGTTTCCTGATGGGAGGGATTGGTGGTGGGTAGAGCTGGCTGTTGCTCTGGTGGGCAGAGCTCAGTAAAAACTTTAATCCACTTGTGTGCTAATCGGTAGGGCTGGGTTCCCTCCCTGTTGGTTGTTTGGCCTGAGGTGACCCAACACTGGATCCTACCCGGGCTCTTTGGTGGGGTTAATGGCGGACTCTGGGATGGCTCACACCAAGGAGTACTCCCCAGAACTTCTACTGCCAGTGTCCTCGTCCTCACTGTGTGACACAGCCACCCCCTGACTCTGCAGGAGACCCTCCAACCCTAGCAGGTAGGTTGGTTCACTCTCCTATGGGGTCACTGCTCCTACCCTTGGGTCTCAATGCACACACTACTTTGTGTGTGCCATCCAACAGTGAAGTCTCTGTTTCCCCCAGTCCTGTCAAAGTCTGTCTCATTGTGGCTTCTCCTTTTTCTTGGGATATGGGGTATCTATTTCAGTGAGTTCCAGTGTCTTCCTGTTGATGATTGTTCAGCAGTTAGGTGTGATTCCAGTGCTCTCGCAAGAGGGAGTAAGGGCTCTTCCTTCTACTCCACCATCTTGCAAGATGCCTCTCTAATAGCCTCATATTTATTTTTAAATATACATGTATTACTGTTATATGTTATAAATAATTAAATATATGTTATAAATTACCTAAATATAAAAGATTATAAAAAATGTGATAAAAAGCAATATAAATGGGAGTTCTATTATTTTGTTCCTATACCCCAATGAATCGTTTTATTTGCCCCAGTATATATGGCTCTTCTACAGACATCACAGCCTTAGACCATACCCTCCAATCCCACTATCCTTCTCCTTCCCCCACTGCATCAGAAGCATGTTCTGAAATTCAAGAATGCCTTATTTTGTGTTGGTCAAAAAGTGCCTTCAGTTTTTAAGTAAAAATAAAAGACATATTTTTCATTTTTATCAAGAACTTTATTGAATAATGTATTCAACCTTTTGTTCCACTACCTTCTGCCATTTTTCAGGCAACTTCATAATTCCATCTTCCCAAAACTTTTTATCTTTTTCAGCAAAGAAGTGTTCCAGGTGCCTTTTACAGTTTTCCAGAAATCTGAAATTTTTTCCAATAAGAGAATTTTGTAAAGACCAAAATAAATGGAAATTTGAAGGTGCAATGTGTGGTGAATATGGCCGATGAATCAGAACTTCCTAGCCAAGCTGTAAGTTTTTACTTGGTCATCAAAGAAACATGCTGTCTTGCATTACCCTGATGGAAGACTATGCGTTTTCTGTTGACTAATTTCAGACACTTTTCACTGAGCGCTGCTATCAGTTGGTCTAATTGGGAGCAGTACTTGTTGGAATTAATCGTTTGGTTTTCTGGAAGGAGCTCATAGTAGAGGACTCCCTTCCAATCCCACCATATACACAACATCACCTGCTTTAGATGAAGACCAGCCTTTGGTGTGGTTGGTGGTGGTTCATTTTGCTTGCCACACGATCTCTTCCGTTCCACATTATTGTACAGTATCCACTTTTCATTGCCCATCACAAGTTGTTTTAAAAACAGAACATTTTCATTACGTTTAAGTAGAGAATAAGTGAAGAGGTTTTTTTCCCTTAATTTATGTGGAACCCAAACATCAAAGCGATGAACATAACCAAGCTGGTACAAAATAATTTTCTACACTTGATTTGGATATTTTGAGTACGTTGGCTATCTCCTGTGTAGTATAACATTGATTGGTCTCAATTTGATCGCTATCAACTACAACTGGTCTACCTGACTGTGGAGCATCATCCAGCGAGAAATATCCAGCACAAAATTTTCAAACTACTTTTGCCATATTTGATCAGTCACAGCCCCTTATCCATACACTGCACAAATGTTTTTTTGCATTTCAGTTGCATTTTTACCTTTCTTGAAATAATAAAGCATAATATGCCAAAAATGTTGCTTTTTTTCTTCCATATTGAATATTAAAATGGCTAAACAAAAATTCACCAATTTTGATAAGTCTTTTTTATAATGCACACTGATATGACAGCTGTCACATACAATCTAACAAAATTGTTTCGAATGAAGTTACAGACACATAAGTGCTACTAGAGTCATCTTACAGAAAAAACCGAATGAAACTTTTGGCCCACCCAATACTTGAGTCAGCTCAAACTATGACAATACTCATAACAGAACTCACTTATATAATATGAAGAATCATGTCCTTCCTATGCCTATTTTATCTTTTGGCAAAATCTGGATTTTCAACTGTAAATATTATATACAGCATGGTATGTAATATTGGTATGCAATATTGGCAGTATGGTATGTAAATAAGTTTTTGTTATTATTGTTCACATTTGTTGAAAATGATTACTACTACTGCAACAACTACCACTACTAACAACTACTACTTCTTTACTGGTATAAATAATTTTGGTATTTACTGGTATAAGTAAATATTTAGTACTTTAAAAGTTTCAGTAATATACCTCTACAGACTTTTGAAGGTTATCATGGCATGGAGCAAGAAGGGATGTCTTCTCCCATTTCTGTGCAACTTGATTGGCTTCTTCTATCTTCTGCTCACAACTTTTTTGAGAATTTAGCAATGTCATCTCATAAAATTCTTGAATATCTGTAAAGAAATGCAAGGGAAAAATCAAAATGTCATATATCACCTCACATATAGCTTCTCCACGTACATGTATATGGAAAATTTTACTGATTAAAAAAACTACATAAATATGTATTCAAAGAAAAACAAAAATAGAGGAAATCCTAAAAATTCGCATTTTTACCTGCATTAAAATTCTTATAGCAACTTTATTCAGAACTGCAAAAATTGGAAGAAATCAAAATATCCTTCAATTAGTGAATGGATAAACAAACTGTAGTAAATTCATTGAATGGAATACTATTCAGCAATAAGAATGAATGAGTTATCAAACCATGTAAAAACATGGATGAATCTTAAATACATATTGCTAAGTTTAAAAATGCCAGGCATGTAGCTGGGCTACATAGCGTATGATTACATTTATATAATGTTTGGAAAAAGCAAAACTAAAGAGACAAGAAAATGGTCAGTGATTTCTAGAGGCTCTGGGAGAGGAGAGGAGGGTTGAATAGGTAAAGCACAGGGTGATGAAAACTTTCTGTAATAATACTGTAATGGTGGGCACCTAACAAGAAGCATTTGTCAAAACTCAAAGAATTTTACAGCACAAAGAGTAAACCAAATGCATGCAAATTTAAAAAATCATTTAGGAGGTCAGGGAATCCCAAGATGTGCAGACTGTGACAAAAGAATCTAACTATATTACAAATGAATGAAATAACCTCACTGAAGGCAGTAGGAGAAAAAGTTGATAACCTAAAAATAAGTAAAGACTGTAAAGCCAAAGACAAAGAAACTACACAAAAGCATCCTAGTCTATACTCTAGTTGGTAAATTTGTTTCTCATGGAATCCAAGTCAACAATTTTGAAGCCACTGTACATAAATAACTAGAACTGAAAATTAAATAAATGGATGGTAGATAGTGGGAGGCAGGTTTCTCACTGTTGGAGTAGGAAGTTACAAAAAAGAAAGTGGGTGGGGTGTCGTACTAGACTGAGTCATACGATTTTGGATTAGATTTGAAGACAACATTACAGACTCCTGTTTGGCTTAACAGAGATATGAATAGATACATATAGAAATATTTACAAATATGCATACACACAGGTTAGTATAAATACATATATTCCCTAACTCTGTCTGCTGAAAGGACCTACAAATAATGACTTTGGCCTCTATACAGCCTTCTCCACCAAATGGTAGAGGGTAATGAAAAAGTACAGTTGGTATTAGCTTAGAATTGGGGGTATCTACATGAATTCAAAAGTTGTGGAAGGAAGGAAGAGAGGGAGGGAGGGAGGACAGAAGCCCAGAGACGGAAGCCCTCTCTATTTAAGGCTCATAGAGAAGAAACATCATTGAATAAAGTCAAACCTTTTCACACCCAGGACTGCAGAAAACCTACACATTATTGGTAGTATGTTTCTATGTGATTTGACTACTTGACTATTTAATCACAACTGCAAGCACTTTTTATTTTGCACAGTCCTCCCTCAAATGAAAACATTTTGCCACCTCTAAGGATACATTCTAAATAAATTCCTCACATGCTTGAAGGCATACCCATATTGACCTCCCAATTATTTTTTAAATAGTCTATAAATTATTATCAAATTTACAGATGAGTGCTTCTCCAACTCTAACATACACATGAATCTCAATCACCTGGAGATTTTGTTAAAGTGCAAATTATGACTAAACTCAGGAATGGAACCTGGATCTCTGTATTTCTAACAAGCTCCCAGGTGGTGCCGATGGCTTCTGATCCACCAGCAACACTGGACGTAAGAAACAGCGCCTCTGTGATTAGAACCCAAGGCTTCATACTCTCATTTCAAACATCCCTTACTGAGTTATTACAATCCTCTTTCTCTTCAGAGTGAGGGGTCAGGGGACATCCCAGTAAGAGAAGCAAGTTGACAAGAAAAGAACTCTGCCTGTTGATTGAAAAATAATAATAACTACTTAGTGAATATTATTGACTAAATTGATTCAGATTCAATTACCTACAAAGTCAACTAAAAGGAACTATATTTCAGTACTCTGCCTTTAGGACACATTAAAACAGAAAAAAAATCAACTTCCAGGTGATATCTGAGACAGTATCTATTCAGTCCAATCTCTCTCTTTTGTTTTAACCTACATTCCATAAAGATGAGATCTGGCCTTTGTAAAGATGATTCTGCCGCAGCTGGGTCTTCAACTATCAAACAGCATGATCAAGGGAATTCATAGTAAATAGAACTGTCTTTTTAAGCATACCCTTAAAAACTCAAAATATACTCAAAATATTTCATCTTTTTCCAAGCAGAGACAATCCAACATGACATACTTATTTCAGTGATGGTGCTCTTTCTTCAAAAGATCCTTAGAGATCCTCTTTGAGATATGCTTTCCAGCATCCGAGGAACTTATTTTTAATATCCTCAGAAGTGGTGAACCTTGTTTCATTTGAAGGAGATTTGATTATTTTTTTAATGCCAAAACTCACTGGACAAACTGTGAATATGGTGAGTGACTGAGAAATGGATTTCCTTTTACACAACTTGAATTAAATTAAGAAAATATGACTTAAATCATGAGATTTTTTTTTCCTAGTATGACTCACAAATTGCTCTGCAATTATCTACTTAACCACAGTAAAACAAAAAAGTAACCAGAATGCAAGATGTTTAACATATTTATATACTTTCTTATCTATTAGCTCAAAGGCTGGAATAAAAGTGACTGGGGAAAGGCTCTTTTTTGCTTCCTCCCATCCCAGCTATCATGTTGCTACACATAGTATTCATGGGAACAATTACAGTCATCTCTCCAGCCTGCCAACCAGAAACCTCTTTGGAGCTTGTTATTGTTGGTTCATTTGTTTTTTTGTGATTCGCAGATATGGCTGTAACTCACCAAAGAATTCACTGAAATGAGCTGAGGATTCTCACCATACAGCCTCAATAAAGAAATGGTAATCTTTGTAAGATGTACCTTCTTTTAAAACATATGTCTTGTGCTTCTTCTAGCATCCCCTTTTCTCTGCAGGATTTCCCATACCACACACCTGATTATGAATTCAGCTAAACAGTATAACACAGTTGAGCTTGCTATATTTAAAGATGTTACAAAGTGCAGTCTTAGTGTTCCATTAGCTTTTCCTGAACATTTGGTTCTATTTGGTAGCTGGATAAATGCTCATATCCAATTTCCTTATGCTGCATCCAGATACCATACTTCTGCAAAATAAAAACTTATCATTGTCTTGGTCCATTTGAGCCAAAGACTACTAGACACTGAAGCATAGTAACAGAATTTCTAATAAAGTCCAATGGAGTAAGTGTCCTATCTTAGTGTGGCAGCCAGTCAAGGTTCTTTAAGTGTATTACCTGGGACTAGAAGAATAAATATGAATATGAGGAGTAGGCTAAAGTTAAATGTGGATGAAAAGAATATATAAGTTAAATTTTACAGCCAAGAAAAGAGAGTGAAAGCAACATCAGTGATAGGTACAAATCAAGTACCAAGTTAGGGAAAAAAGGAGCCCAAACCATAGCAGGGATGAGTGTGAAACCCAGAGTCCAAAGACATGATCAAACCCAATATATATTGAAGAATTAAGACCACAGAATCAGGAAATGCTTACACACAAAAGATTCAAACAAATTTCCATAATATTCTGATATGATTGAGCTTCTTCTATACCTGGACAAAGCACGGAAGGAAGGAGGGAGGGAGGGAGGGAAGGAGGGAGGGAGGGAAGAGGAGGCAGAGAAAGAAAAGGAGGGAGAATGGAAAGGAGGGAGAAAGGAAAAAAGGGATGAGGGAAGGAAATTTGGTTTCAAAATACTTTCTTCTACTAAAAGGAACCAGGGCTTTTTGGTTAAAGACTCGCTCTAGGGCTACAGCAGAGAAACTATAAGATGAACCTGGGACTTGCATCAGAAAGTAAGGAAGTACTGAAAAATCACGGGAACATATCAAAAAGGCATGAAAGCCATCTTGAAGGGGCTCCTACTAACAAAATCTGGAACAATTTGAGCATTAAAGTAAATTAATAATAGTAATAGATTATAACCTATTGAGTAAAATAATCTATGCGTTCATCCTGACATAAAAATAAATGATTAAATGGAAGAGAAGGGAAAGCTCTTCTTTACAGGAGAATGCCAGTTAAAAAATATAGAAGAAATGATGGAATTAGAAAATCATCAATGGACACTGTAACTAGTGGGTAAAATTTTGGTGAGGAACATAATGTTACATAGTCTCAAAGTATCTCCCCACAAATTAGAACAAACTGGCACTGGGAGCCTCCTGTTATCAACCACCAAGATGGATATAGCATCATTTCTGTGTTACTCCTCCCGGAAATGCATAAACTGAATCTAATCATTAGGAAACATCAGATGAAACCAAACTGTAGGACAGTCTACAAAATACCTGATCTGGAATCTTCAAAAATATCCAGGTCAAGAAACTGCAGATTAAAGGGGACTAAAGAGGCATGACAGGGACTTCCCTGGTGGTCCAGTGTTTAAGAATCCGCCTTCCAATGCAGGGGACGTGGGTTCAATCCCTGGTCAGGGAACTAAGATCCCACATGTCACGGGGAAATAATAATAAGCCCACACACCACAACTACTGAGCCTGCACGCCACAACTAGGGAGCCCGTGTGCTGCAACTACTGAGCCTGCACACTCTGGAGCCCATGTCACAACTAGAGAGAAGCCCACGTGCCACAACGAAAGATTCCGCATGCCACAACTAAGACCCAACACAGCCAAATAAATAAATAAACAAAATATAAAAGAAAAAAGAGGCATGACAATTAAATGTAATGTGTGATCCTGGATAGATCCTGATAGACTGGGGAAACATAGCTATAAAAGATATTTTGGTGACTACTGCTGAAACTGAATATGGACTGTGCATTAGATATTAGTTTTGTATCAATGTAAAATTTCTTGATTTTGATAACTGCACTATTTATGTAAGGAAATATTCTTGTTTTTAGGAAACAGACATTG